ACCGCACTCTCACACACATCACACACCACACCCCTCAGACACACATACTGCACCCCTCACATACACACAGAACCCCCTCAACACACTGCACCACACACATACACAATACTTCCAAATATATATTTATATATATATACACACACACACTACACTCTTAACATACACACTCTGGATCCCCTATACACACACTAGATTCCTTGTAAGCAAACACATACTACACCCCTAAACATACACTACATCACCTATATACACACACACACACACACTATAGCCTGTATGCACACACTTGCTATATCCCCTATACACATTCTCTACAGCCCCTAGCCACATATGCATCACATTACACCACAAACACAACATGACTAAAACCAACCTTATTACACAATACCGCACCACAATCAGCTCACTCTACACACACGCAATACCACAAGCAGGCTCCAAACACATGCACAATACTCTTTCCTGGCATTTTTGTTTCCTGGTATCTTTATAGAGACACCAGAGACAATTTGCAAGGAAACACAGTGCAAGCATGTTATTAAATTTGCTTGCACTGTGCAGAACAAATACAGGGCTTTTTTTATCATGCTAGAGCTCTTCAGCAGAGCTCTGCGCATGGTCTGCCGTGGAAGAGCATTGAACCAACATGCTCACTTTGAGAGGGGGCGTGTTTGTCATTGGTGATGACAAAACACACCTCCTCTGCCCCCGCCCCCTTCTTAGTGGGCCGCTGTGTTAAAAAAATGCCCGGGCCGAATTTTTCTCCCAGTCCGGCCCTGCACCATACACATTCACACACTGAACCTTTCACACACATTGCACCTCTCACACATTGCACCACTGCTCCTAAACCCTACTACAGCCCCATATCCCAGCATACTCCAGGTAAGTTGTCAAACTGTTCTTAAAAGGTTTGACTACTTACTCTGGGAGGGGGTGCCGACACTCCTGGCACCATAACCACTACACAGAGGAGTAGTGGTTATTGTGCATGAAATATTTCTTTAAATAATCTACAAGTGCCCCTCCCGGGCTCAGGCTCTGGATCCGTCACTGGTATATGACATGTATATTAATGTGTATATTTGTTTTATATATATATATATCTATTATATTTACACATATTAATGTACATTTATATATGCATAATACACAGAGAAATTTCATTAATATGTACCATATGTAATGAGCAGATATTGGCCCAATCTTGTTGCTAGGTGCATACTCAAGCACAATAACATATTTAAAGTGAAGAGCACACCCACAGGACTTCAAAATAAACATTTTTTACAGTTGTGCCCAGGGGTCAAGTCCTGGGGAAAAAAGTGTGGGAACTCACCCAAGATTCCCGCCGTCCGTCCCCCCCCTTTAAAAAAAAAAAAATTACACTCCTATGCATATAGTGCAGTGCAGGGTGTGTATAATGAATGTAGTGTGTTTGTAGTGAATGCAGAGTGTGTATAATGAATGCAGTGTGTTTTTAGTGAGTGCAGAGTGTGTACACTGAATGCAGTGTGTTTGTAGTGAATGCAGAGTGTGTATAGTGAATGTAGTGTGTAGTGAGTGCAGTGTGTTTTTAGTGAGTGCAGAGTGTGTACACTGAATGCAGTGTGTTTGTAGTGAATGCAGAGTGTGTATAGTGAATGTAGTGTGTAGTGAGTGCAGAATGTGCATAATGAATGCAGAGTGTGTATAGTGAATGCAGAGGGTGTATAGTGAATGTAGTGTGTTTGTAGTGAGTGAAGAGTGTGTATAATGAATGCAGTGTGTGCGCGCTGGATGACGTGTGTGTGAGTGCTGGATGATGTGTGTGCGAGTGCTGGATGATGTGTGTGCGTGTGCTGGATGATGTGTGTGCGTGTGCTGGATGATGTGTGTGCGTGTGCTGGATGATGTGTGTGTGTGTGCTGGATTATGTGTGTGAGTGCTGGATTATGTGTGTGAGTGCTGGATGATGGGTGTTTGTGTGAGTGCTGGATGATGGGTGTTTGTGTGAGTGCTGGATGATGGGTGTTTGTGTGAGTGCTGGATGATGGGTGTTTGTGTGAGTGCTGGATGATATGTGTGTGTGTGTGTGTGTGTGCTGATGATGTGTGTGTGTGTGTGTGTGTGCTGGATGATGTGTGTGTGTGTGTGTGTGTGCTGGATGATGATTCCGCCATTCTTCCTTAACCAACCTTAACCAAATCTTCGCCCCAACCAAATCCTTCAGTGAGTGCTGGATGGTGTGTGTGTGAGTGCTGGATGATGTGTGTGTGCTGGATGATTGGTGTGTGCTGGATGATTGATGTGTGTGAGTGCTGGATGATGTGTGAGTGCTGGATGATTGATGTGTGTGAGTGCTGGATGATGTGTGTGGGAGTGCTGGATGATGTGTGTGTGTGTGTGCTGGATGATGTGTGTGGGAGTGCTGGATGATGTGTGTGTGTGCTGGATGATGTGTGTGGGAGTGCTGGATGATGTGTGTGGGAGTGCTGGATGATGGGTGTGTGCTGGATGATGGGTGTGTGCGGGATGATGGGTGTGTGAGTGCTGGATGATGGGTGTTTGTGTGAGTGCTGGATGATGGTGTGTGTGCTGGATGATGTGTGTGTGTGTGTGTGGATGATGTGTGTGTGAGTGCTGGATGATGTGTGTGTGAGTGCAGGATGATGTGTGTGTGAGTGCTGGATGATGTGTGTGTGAGTGCTGGATGATGGGTGTGTGTGCTGGATGATGTGTGTGTGTGTGCTGGATGATGTGTGTGTGAGTGCTGGATGATGGGTGTGTGAGTGCTGGATGATGGGTGTGCGAGTGCTGGATGATGGGTGTGTGAGTGCTGGATGATGGGTGTGAGTGCTGGATGATGTGTGTGCTAGATGATGTGTGTGTGTGTGCTAGATGATGTGTGTGTGTGTGTGAGTGTGCTGGATGATGGGCGTGTGTGTGCTGGATGATGGGTGTGTGAGTGAGTGCTGGATGATGGATGTGTGAGAGTGCTGGATGATGGATGTGTGAGAGTGCTGGATGATGTGTGTGGTAGATGATGTGTGTGTGTGTGTGCTGGATGATGGGTGTGTGTGTGCTGGATGATGGGTGTGTGAGTGCTGGATGATGGGTGTGTGAGTGCTGGATGATGGATGTGTGTGTGAGTGCTGGATGATGGGTGTGAGTGCTGGATGATGGGTGTGTGAGTGCTGGATGATGTGTGTGGGGGGGGGGAAGCATTTTTTTCTTACTTTGTGTTTAATATTTATTTTATTCCCCCCTCCCTGCTTCTTACCTTGTCAGGGAGGGGGGAGATCGCCTGGTGGTCCGGTGGTCAGGTGGAGGGAGCCAGCCGCTCGCTGCACAGAGGGGCCATCACACGCAGTGTTCCCTCTCCAGCTCTAACTCTCGCGAGACTCGCCTGTGCGGAGCGTTGCCATGGTAACAGCCGCGGGTCTCGCGAGAGTTATAGCTGGAGAGGGAACACAGCGTGTGATGGCCCCTCTGTGCATGGAGCAGGGCCGGTCCTGCAGGACAGGTAACGGGAACGGCGTTCCTGCTTTGGAAAAAGTGCAGGAACGCCGTTCCCATGCGTTCCTGCAGGACTCGAGCCCTGGTTGTGCCGTACATACATTCACCATTTCAGTCCCATTAACAAGCTTTCCTTAATATGTCAAGGTAGTTGGACTGAAACATTGGTTACATGAAAAGGCACGTCTGCTTAAAATAAATCTGCACTTTTGTTTATTTTGAAGCCTATGAGTGCGCTTTTTACGTTGAAGTACTTTTTAATTTTAAGTTATCTGTTCTAACTCTGTATCTGCACACTATGCTGGCGCGACGCATTATGGGGCTGGTAAATATTTTTTTTCCAGGGCTGCTTTTAATTCCCAGTCCAGCCCTGGCTGTGTCCATGCCTTTTTTAAATCAAATACGTTTCAATGTCCGCATCAACATTACCTGCTAGATTTCCACCTATTTCTTAACAACGGTGTCTTTAGTTCTTGCCATATAAATACCCTGTCGACTATTTACAAATGAGAAACTTTTGCCAAAATAGTCTGTTGACTATTGACAAATGAGATGGTCGTGCCAAAATAGTCTGTTGACTATTAACAAATGATAAGCCAAAATTGTATCATTAGGACAGATCATTCCAGTGGACACAGAGTAGGCAATCAGGCAATGGTGACGAGTCTGCTAAACAGTAGAAAACAAACCATTAGAATTCAGGTTGGCAGACTTACTGTCCAAACCAGACACCATGTCAGCATTATATTTGGCATTTTCATATATACCAATATTTTATGATCAATGGATTCATTATAAATAAGAGCAGAAGGTATTCTATTAACATATTCTATTTCATTTGCATGTGAAGGGTTGAAAAAAAAAATCTAAGCAATTGTTAAAGGGACACTACAGTCACCAGAACAAATGCAGCTTATTGTAGTTGTTCTGGTAAGTATAGTTAGTCCCTGTAGTTTATTTTGCTGTAAACACTGCATTTTCATAGAAAAGGGAGTGTTTACATTACAGCCTAGGAACCAGAGGTGCTTTCTGGGTCAGTGCTGCACAGTGTGTAACTGGCAGACCCATGCAGCGCTGGAAATAAGGTTTCATGTCTTTTAAGGGTGAAAGGAGGTTGGGGCGCGGGTTGGGCAAGCAACCTAAATGTTGGTTTTAACACTACAGGGTCAGGAATACGTTTGTATTCCTGATCCTATAGTGTTCTCTTAATGAAGATTGTTCCACTTTTGGATGACACTTTATACAAAACTACGTATTAACATTGATAATGAAAATGTTTGTAAGCAGTAAACACAGACAACCAGAGAACTTCAGCAGGCAGCATGTTTATATATTCTATTGATTCTTTAAGAGATACTCTTAATACCAAAACGACTGTAGGAACACCAAACAACTTTAGCTT